ACACAAAACTTGGCGTTGTCATGACTCCAGTCTGGCCGTGACGTAAAAGCAAGAGTACATGAAGCCCAGAGTATGCAGCTTCTGAATTTGTCTGCATGGGTGTTTGTCACGGCGAAATCCGATGATCAATGATTACATCATATTTGGTGCAGATCTGAGGCGGGCAATGGCGTAGTGCGTACAACTGAGCTGCAGTTGTGCAGAAGGAGACCCGCTGGAACCCTGCTTGTACGTACTACATCACTAAAACAATGTAAATCACGGAATTTCGCGGTGACAACAACCCATCAGAGCGGCACACTCTGGGTTTCGGATACTGTCAGTCCACAAATTTTCGGTCCATTCAAATCTCGGCCTCCCATGGGTAAAACATATTTCGGCCGCATCAAATTTTCGGCCTGTACCGCTGCTGCCTGTATACACTGTCACACCGAACCTTGCAAAACAAATTTTCAGCGGCAACACATTTTCAGCCAAACATGGCCAGGCCGAAAATAGTCGAAAATAGATACCGTAGTGTCTTGTATAAAAGCCTATCTCGTATAGAACCCTGTTATGAATACAAGCCTAATTTTCAAGATACACTGTCGGCACATAAGCCTGGTTTTAGTGTTGACACACATAGAAATACCTGGTTTGAATAGAAGCCTGATGTGAATAGAAGCCTAGCCCTTACATCGGCTTCTGCAGGAATAAGCCCGGCTTTAATACGCGACATTACGGTATGCGCCGAATATTAGTTGACTAACAGTACTGTTGGCAGCACGCATTGCAGTGTACACGCTTATCGTTTTCGTGTAAACAGCAAAAACGTTTCGAAAACGATTGAAAAAACGTTTTTCAATCGTTTTCGTGTGAATGAGGCCTTACAGTACTGTCGGCAGCACGCTCATTGTCGCTCAAGCACTGTGCTCTCACCTGACACTGGTCCCGGGAGATGAAGCCGCGGAATAGGCCGAGTAACCGTAGCGATGTCCCCGTGCACATGCACTGCCGCAGGCCGTCCAGGATCAGGTGCGACACGTCGAGCTCCAATCTCTGCGTGGTGCACGGCACACGCACACGTACAAACACGCATGCACATACACACGCAGACATATCCACACGTGGACACACATACCCATGTGCGCGCACACACACACACACACACACACACACACACACACACACACACACACACACAAAGGAATCTTGGAAAGAAAGAACAAACTTCGGGCTCCTCGCAAGCAACACTTTTCGAAAAGAATTCCACAAATAATACTCTCGACGCCTTCCCATCCGGTGGAATACAGGCAAAAAGAACCCAAAGAAGCACAGTGAATCCTATACTATATTGCAGAGACGTGATAGAAACAGCGCAACGAAGAACGTCCAGAAGTAACACGGTGCGATGATTAACCTCATACACACAGAGCACGTAGAGGCAGCGAATCTGGTGATATTTTTAACAACTCAAGTCGGGGGGGGGGGGGAGGCAAGTGATATCAATTTGTTTAGTTGGTTGCTATAAGCCACACTGGAGCTTGCGCTTTTCCTGCCGACTTTGACTTGACACCTTCCCCACACAGAGAAGGATGTGAAGCTAGGTGCAAGTGTGAAGACACC